TTTCCCTTTTCCCCTTTCCAGCATTTGGAAAGGAGCAGCTTTCTCTTCCTTCCTAGGAGCCCACTGGGTGTGTGGGGGGCTGCCAGGGTCACTTCTCCACTGCTGTGCCTCTCTCCCAGGCTCCACTGTGATCCAGGAGGAGCAGGAGGGTCATTCCTCGATTTGGCTAGCCGCTTCGTTGACCCAAGCAAAGCCCGAGCGGTGACTCTTGCGATCGTGGGTAGCAGCGGGTTGTGGACATATCCGTCTGCGCTGGCAGGGGACGCGAGCAGCAGCAGAGGCGCTGACGTGGCGCTCCTGGGCAGAGAAGCAGCGCTGCCTCGGGGCCTGTTGGGGAGGTTCTCGTGGCACTCGGGCTGAGGTGGTGACAGGCCCAGCCTCACTCTGTGCTTGCCACTGAGACACGGGTACACATACGTGGCTTTAGCTCTGCTTGCCACTGAGACACGGGTACACGTAGGTGGCTTTAGCTCTGTGCTTGCCACTGAGACACGGGTACACGTAGGTGGCTTTAGCTCTGTGCTTGCCACTGAGACACGGGTACACATACGTGGCTTTAGCTCTGTGCTTGCCACTGAGACACGGGTACATGTAGGTGGCTTTTACTCATTTTAAATAGTGGAATTAGCTAAAGGCAGCTTCTTGGTTTTTGCAGGCTATAAGCACCCGGTAACCGTATAACGGCGTGGTTCTGCCGCGCTAATTGAAAATAAACTAGCACGCTTTGAGTCAGCAATCATTTGGGCAGGCATGCCATGAATTAGTCCCACACCCCCTCCAAGCGCCCCTCTGATCACCTTCCCCTGCCTGATGTGCTGCTCTGCTTTCTGCTCCTGACTCTGTGCTCCCTGCCTTGTCCTTGGGTCCTGTGTGAGATTGCCGATGGCCGGTATTTAGCCAAATTTGCAGATTTGCTAGAATCCGACAGGGCCGCGACGTGAGTGCTTCTGCTGTGGCTGTTATGGCATTTGGAAATGCCTGCTCTGCTTTCTGCTCCCTGCCCAATCTGTGCCACCTGTCCCCTTCCCAGTCTGCCGTGTGCCACACACAGACTGGCAGTGCCACTTCTGGCACGCATGCCGCAAGCTGGGTCTGCTTTGAATGATGACACAGAAACACGCGTGCCATGGAACTGCCCGTGCTGGTGTTTGTACGTTCCCACGGACGAGCTGATGTCTGACTGCATTCAAATCGTGTGCTTATATTTGGTACAGGTATTGCTGTGCGCCTGTGCAGTCCCTGCATACTTGCATTACCCTGCACGTGTCCCATTCTTGGGGCTTGGAGCAACACTGCTGTTCCCTCCAATGCTTCATGGCAGGAAACAGGGTGCTCACAGCCCTGTTATCCCCCCAGTTGCCCCCCTCTCAGTAAACTGGGCAGCAGTGCAGGCTCACGGACCAGGGGTTGAGGAGTCCTGGGGTTTCTCTCGGCCTCTCCTTTGTTGTGGGTGTGGGACAAGACTCAGCCCCGACAAAGCGTCCTGTTCCTCCTCTGAAAGTGGGAAAGAGCGTTTTTGCGGCCTTCTGAATGGCCTTGGGGTGGTCAAGGACGAAAAACCTGCTGATGAAGTACTAGCTTTGCTGGGCCATTAGCTGCTCCCCTAGCCAGCCGGCAGTGTAGGAGCACGGGCTGAGACGACTTGGCTAATCAAGTTTTGGTTTTGTTATAACTCACTTATCCTCTGATCAGATTAAGGTTGTGTGCAGCCTTGCATTTCTGCCTCTGCTGTGCATGGTCGTGCAGGGCAGCGATGGGGGAAGCCTGCACGTGAGGCAGACTCCTCCTCTGGAGCCTGGGGCTGCTCTCCTCTCTAGGGCACGGGATCCAGGGGAGAGCAGGGGAGGCTCTTCAGCATCCTGCTAGGATTTCTTGCCCGCAGGTGCCCTGTGTTCAGCACCAGGGCAGCTGTCATCTGCTCTAGTTTATGGGCTGACCCTTGGGCTCTTGGCAAGCTGACAGCGCTGTCCTGCTTTATTGCAAGGCGGCAGTAGCTGCAGAGGCAGGGGCTGCAGGCTGCTGCTGTCCGGGTGCAGTCGGGCTGTCTGGTGTGAGCACATGTCCTCTTAGTGCCAGTGTCCACACCATGTCCCCAGTGTGCTGTGCACCCCCTGCAAGTGCAGCAAGGAAGCTGCTGTCGGGACCTGGCTCTGACGCCCTCAAGTACAGCCCAAGGGAAGCCC